CAGTCTCCATGTTTTTGCAAAATTGTGACGAATCAGAGAGAGTTATGAGAATATTCTTGCATAATTCTGCTGTATTTCACAAAATTGTCCTTTAATTGGCAAAACCCTGCACACATTTTGCAAAATTTTGTTAGAATCTGGCAAAATTCTGAAATAGCGCAGAATTACACAATATTCTCAGAACTCTCTCCGATTCGTAAGGAGTTTGCCGAAACCAGCACGATTTTGTCAAATACTATCAGAATTTTGCAAAACACTTTCGGAATACGGTGAAATACAACCGAAATATATTCTCAGAACTCTCCCGGATTTCACAGAATTTTGCGAAAACCTGCAGAATTTTGTGAGACGCTATCGGCATTTTGCAAAAGGGTTTTTTTAATTTTGCGAATGAAAGCAGAATTTGGTGAAATACAACGGAACTATACAAGAATATTCTCCGAAGTCTCGACAGTTCGTCAGAGTTTTGCCAAAACCTGCAAAATTTTCCCAAATTCTACCAGAATTTCGCAAAATATTTTCAGAGTCTCGCGAATTAAAGCAGAATTTGATGAAATACAATAGAACTATACAAGAATATTTTGAGAACTCCCCCAGATTTCACAGAATTTTACTCAAAGCTGCAGGATTTTGTGAGGTTCTTTGTGAGATGCAGAATTTTGCGAATTAAAGCTGAATTTTGTGAAATACGGCACAATTATGCGAGAATTTTTTTGTTGTGTTGGGACTTAAAAGCAAAGTCTATTCGGTAAAACAGTGGAAATCGGGGTATGGACTTTTTCTTTCTAGTTTAGTGTGCAGTACAAGGTTTTGGCCCACAACTCTCTTAACCTCACTAACTATGTTTTCTCTTTCAGACAATGACTTCTCATAAGTACGCACTTCAACGCAGGCTATCACTTTCGCTACATAATTATAATACTAAACATTTTCTCGTCATAATCCAGCATAATATGACTAAGTTCTATCTAAATCTAGATATTCATAATCAAAAAATGTTAAATTCATATTGCTGACAATTGTGCCAAGATGTTTTGAGAACCTCAGCACAAGTTTCATAGCCATTCATTTTTTTGTTTACGAATATCTAGATTTAGATAGAACTTGATCACATTATGCTGGATCTGACGAGAAAATGTTTAGTATTATGACACGCGGATCGAACACTCATCATCGTAATACTCATATCGTGTTGCTTCGATTAATTTATCTTTTATTAAGTAGTTATCAGGCGGACCTTTTAGTAAAAACTGATGTAAATAAGAAAAGCCTTTCTCAATATTTTTCAAAAGAATCTGCTACTTATCATTTTAATTTTTACTTGATTTTTAAGGAGCGTATTAACAAATGATGCCGATTATCTTTAGAGGAAAAAAGTAAATTATTATCTTCTTGTGCTGAAAATTGTTCTAATTCTCCTTTCATAAGTTTGTGCAGCTGTACCAAGAAAAAACGCAGATTATTTTCGTTTTGTCAACACATCCTTGCATGAAAACATCGGGAAAAACGACTAGCTGTTTAACACATAGTCACCTCGCGATCGCTATACACTCGCGATCGCGCGGCAGGGCTCTAAATCTGCATCGATTCGATCCTTAAGAATTCAGTATTCTTTAATGCTGAACGACTTTGAGAAGGAAAGCATTTGGCAATTGTTTAAAATTCATCTTTTTTTCGAACGAGCTTTTCATGTATTTCTAGAAAAGCTTTTGAAAACCTTGTTTCTCTTCCGTTAACAAATCTCCCAAATCTCTACATTTATTCAGCTCTTTAGACTCTAGCAAATCCATTTCTTAAAAGGTTTTTTGCTTGGATATGACTTTCTTCATATGCCCAGTGTAAAGAGCATCATTCAAAACCCTTAAGTGGTAGAAATCAGCTAAATCGATTTGCCCGTTCTCAAGTTAGTCTCCTGATATAACACGCCTATTCACTGAAATGTCAAAGCAAGCGTTCAGATTAAACAGATACGGTAGTGCCATGCGATTCCAAGGTGTTTCTCTTCGACAATTTCGATCACTGTTATAAAACGTATTTAACTTAACTGTGAGCCTATTCATTGTCCGAGTTTTCACAAGCAGTATGGGTAGTGGATTTAATGATTTTCTTTTTACCATCGCTGGTTTTGTCTTTGATAGAATATTTTATCAACAGTTTTATGAGTACATAAATATAAATGTTTCATTCTGAGTTAAGATATCTTTCATGCTGTTATCGACCCTGTTCCTTTCAAATCCTCAATCACGTTTTCTATTTTCAATATTACACCTTCGTTGGCAGATGAAAGACGCTTATACAATTTCAAAGCTTCTTCGAAATACTCCAGAGCTTCTCTATACTGTCGTTTGCAGTAATATATAGCCGCAATACTATGTATACTATCAGCTATTAGAACATGATCGTATGGCAGTGACTGACTCCAAGCGATACGCGCCTGTTGGTAGTAGGACAACGCTTTGTCAAACTGATTTATGTTCTTTAGAGCAAGACTAACGTTGTAATAGCTGATACCTAACCGAATATCATCGGGAACCAGACATTCTAGGTGGATGTCTAACGCTTTTTGCTGATAAACTAACGCCTCAAACAAATCATTTTTTTGGTTAAATATGTATGCAATTGAATGAAGTATGGTTGCACTGTCTATTCGTCTCGGTGGTTCTTCGCTCATCATCAATTCATAGGATATCTGAAAATGTTCCAATGCCAAATCATAATCACCACGATTGTAATGTATTTTAGCAAGAGTGAAATGGACAAGAGCAACATCTTCCACATCACTTATTTGATTCAAATAATTTTCAGCTTTCGTACGATAACCCATTATGAATAGTAGATCAGCCAAAATTATAGAATTCGATTTTTCAGGCATTATACTTCGTTCCAAGTCTAAAAAGTCTTTGCCGATTGTTCCACTATCGCAGACTTCGAGTTTGACTATCCAAGCATGATGATACTCATCCTTGAATTCAATTGTCTTACACGAAATGTTGTCCCCAAATCGAAAATACGTATTTTGTTGTTGTTTCGCAGTACTAGTTCGCATTCAAATACAATCTGTACGCGACCATCAACTATTTCGTTTTCGTCGTCTGGAGCAGTATCTAAAACAAATGTAAAGTATTTAATGGCTAACACGTTCGCCCAAATTTCCATTAGCCAGAAGATGGCAAAGATAAAATCTTGTTGATTGTGTAGAGCTAGTTGAGTTGCGTTAAATTCGTGTTCAGGGACGCTAAAGCGGGTTGAAAATATGTGCTCGAAAATTTGAGCTAATTTCATATTTTCAGGATTAGAGAGTAATTTACAGAGATGTTTTTGTATGTGCTTCGATCTGAGTTATCTGCCGGAATTTACACTTTTATATGAGGGTGCGACTTGATCGTTTGTTTTTCTGCTTAACGATTTCCCAGATTGCGGCATCTACTTCAGAATGGGCGTAAAGCTCATCAGATTGAAAATTTGTTGGAACTGACTTCTGTTTTGTAAATAATTATTCCAGGTAGAGGTATCGTTCGAAAAATAGAGGCAACCGCCCTCAGTTGGCGATGGGAAAATAATGACAGAAAACGGAGAAGTAAGAACTTCAGAAATATATTTTAGGACATCGGACTTAAATACGATTAACCCATGTTGACCGAAAAATTCTTCAGAATATTTCGCAGTCAAATATCTGATACGGCCTGAACAACTTCCTTTTTGCGTTAAAATTTCCAGGGTCAAAACATCGTTAAGGTTACCTTGGCACACCTAAGTCAAAAGCCGTAATTTAAGTGGGTGACAAAAGCCGTTGAAAGCAATAGGTGCATTTAACCATTTCCATATTCAGAAGAGTCTTTTTGTTGAGTACTTTGTTTTAGTCTAAACAATTCTGCCGTTTGAACCGTTCCACAAATCCAAAGGAGAAAATATCACAATCAAATACCAACATTTTGAGATGTTTTCTTTCAAAAAGTCCACGTCACCGTTTCTTTATCTTATTTTTCCAAGCAGAGTGCTATTTTTCCTTTTCTCTCTAACTCGAGAAATGGAGAGAAAACGACAAGTATCCGTGAGAGAGATACTACCGTTTCTTGTCCGAAGACAAGTTGAAGCTAGAGCCCTTTTGGTTACAACATTTCGGTAACCTGCCATGGCCAGGCATTTTTTTTAATTCTGGCTTAATTTTTCTTGATTCTGTTTGCCCCACTTCAACAGTAAGAACCTTAAACAGCCAGTAGATTTCAAATCTCGCTCAGTCCCGGTGAATATATCGTCAATCACACCTAGATTCAATGACCTCCTCAAGTTTGTTAAAATTGGGAGGAAAATTGGATGGACAATTTCACTGCCTTAAAGCAGTTCGACCCTTTTAAAGTTATACTTCTCCATGATATTATGAATCCACAATCTCGTTCTCCGTCGGAGTTTCACAATAAACTCTTCGCGTGCAGAAGGTAATCACTTTTTTAGCAATCCTCAGAAAAGGCATGCAACCGGATTTTTCACAAACAGTTCTACAAAACAGACTCAGTCTTTTTGCCAGCTTCTAGATTATGTTTAAATCTGACATACCTGTGCAACAGCACTCATCAGCAGATGAATTCATAACTAGGAAAGCGTCGAATATAATTAACTTATCAATTGATTTCAACAGACTTTCATATCCTTTTGTTGATACTAAACGTTTAAAATAGATTTTTTTCCTTATTGTCAATTGTCATTGTTGATTGTTGCGGCGAAATATGTTCAAGATTTGATGTTAGATCCATAATAAAAAACTTCATTAATTTCAACTGGTCAACATTTCTTGCACGAAATGCTTTCGAAAGCCATTTGTAAAAAAGCAATTCGTTTTTAAAAACTGTTTGATTGCATCACTGTCTGACTGGTAATCATTCTCAAATTCTTTTATATTATTCATTTCGAAGATATTATCAGCATAGTATTCTTTTACGTTTTCAATAAATAGATTACGCTGTTGAAAATATTCATTACCGCTGTTTGCTGTTGTTGTTAAGTTAGAGTCGAGAATAGTGGAAGTAAAATAAAGTTGTTTGATTAACAAATTCCAAAAGAAATAGGAATTGTATCCGACGATTGATGTGAACATGTGGGTGTGGGACGGATTGTAAGAGGGATATATTATCAGTTCATTTTGCTGTTGCTCAATTGAAATTTTCATTTTATAGGCCGAGGAGTCTATAATGTACTTTACAATAAGGCGAACATTTAGAAGAAACAACAAAATTGAGGGTTTTGTTTGTTGTGGTATAACAATTAGGTAAGGCTTTGACATTTTACCTGTACCTTGTTTCAAAATTTTGAGAATGTTTTGTAACTTTGTTTTTCATAACTCTGAGCTAATTTTGTGTAGAATTGTTCGCTGTACAAAACGCAAGAATTTCTGCCGTTCTTTTTCACAGTACATAATTGACGATTTACATGAAAAAAACTACTTTTTGTGGCTCGTTTTCTACCAAAAGGTTTTAAGGCACTACGGGTCAAAAATGCCGATTTTCGGCAATNGTGCGCTACATTGATCAAGCATGGTTTTAGAAAAATCTAAAAGCGACTTTTTACTTTTTGTAAATTTAGATAGCCCAAAGTGTCTAATTTCTAATGCTATAATTTTTCTGTCGATAGGATAGGTTTTTCAAAGCTTTTGAGCGAGTTTTCCAGAAGCCCTATAGCAAAACAAATTGGCTTTTTTGCACTTTTATTGCATAAGCGCACACATGTGCCGCACATGACCACGCACATGTTCGTTAGATCCGCTATGACCGATAACCTCTAGCAAAATAACAACAAGTTATTTAACGCTCAAACAGTTTTTAAGTAAAACGTATTTAACAGAATCAAAACTTATTTTGCGTTTTTCTTAAGACTGTTTTTAGCTTTAGGGCTTTCGCCAATTCTCAGTACTGATACATCGGAGGAAGTTTTTCTTTTTTTTGTTTTGTAGATAACATCTATAGCTAGGAGTTGACAGAGTCCGAGTTTTAAATTATGCTTCTATTCTTTACAGAAATGCGATTTCTGAGAAACTTTGTAAGGATTTTTCGGACTTTGAAGTTCTGTTAAGCACCAGAATCAGCAAATGATAAATTCAAAAATCGGGCTCTGTCAACTCCTAGGCATAGGTATTTTCTGTAAAACAAAACTAGCCCAAGCTCTCTATCATTTACTTGGAGTGCGAATTCTTGTGAATGGTAGACGCCTATTTTTGGTCCTTGTTCGGGCGCCCTCTCACGAACAGTTGCTAGTGACGCCAAAAAAAAATTTCGTTACCACACTTTGGCATGGTCAACATTCGCTGAAAGTTTGTTTCAGATCAGACTTACCTGGGCTGATATAGGTTTCTGACCCGGGATGGGGGCCTTAATGGCTAAAACCAGTTTCGTATACCTAACTTTGTGCGCTACATTGATCAAGCATGGTTTTAGAAAAATCTAAAACTGACTTTTTACTTTTTGTAAATTTACGTTTTTTTAATTGGATTTCTTCAAAAGTATTAAGCAAAATAAAATAGTTTATAATGATCGAAGTGACATGATATTTGAACGCTCCCATCTTCAACAGCTCTGTCATTGTTGAAAATACACCAGTTAATTTTGAATCCGAATTCGAAAGTAACGAACGATAATGAGTTTTTCTTTTGGAATTCGAACAGTGTAGAAATATCCCCCCGACTTGTATTAAATTTTTCAATTCTAATAAAAGATCATTTGTTTCGTCGACGTATTGTTCAGCAGTCTCGACCAAAACCAAATATATTCTTTCTTCATCGACTGATCTGACATATATTTTCAATTGCGATGAAACTTTATAAAAAAGACAATAGTCATTGATCGAACGATAACTGTTTACCATCTCATCTGTTAAATCTTTCACATCAAAATTTGGATCATATATAACAACGCAAACATTTTCATTATTGCCTGGTAATTTATTCGTGGCAAAACACATCATTTCATTTGAAGTCGTTGACCGGGACTAGTTCGATTGTTTTCTTCGATGCTTGTGTTGACTAGAAACGGGGTGGAAGATCATTAGGCATCGGCCCTCTCTCAAAAACATTTTTTCTTTTGTCATAAATCGATAGGATATGTGATTTTATGTAGGATTCGATAAGGAGTCTAAAAAGTAATCCTGAGAAACAAAAATTGACCCACTTCCAGTATTCCTGAGTACCACTAGTTTTAATAAAAATGTTTTTGTTTTATAACTACCCACTGAAAAAAA